TTAATTAATTTAAGTTCTATTATTGTTTTTAAATTGAATTTAGATCTATCCCTTATCGCTATTCAGAATATTTTAGATAAATTTTGACTACATTTAAAAGTTTATATAAAAAAACATACATAATTCAAGGAATCTCCTCACAGAAATCTGTAAAACCTAGAAATTATGAAACAAATTATTGAAATTTGATGAACATATCAAAAATTATGAATTAAAAATTAGTTCTAAATATTAAGCCATGTAAGTGAGGTGACATCATTATTGCTCAGACAAATTATGTGGTTAATTAACCGAGCCTGTAATGTAAATGAAGGGGAAAACATTCACTGGTATGGATAAACAGAACTAGACACCTTAGCAATGAATTATTACATTTAAAAAAACATTTATGTCTCTTAATGAGTTGTCAACTTACAAATCTAAGTCATTCTAACATTAGAAGAAGATAAAGAATAAGACATTATAATAAAAAGTAAGTTGGGCTTATAAGCTGGCCCAGTAATTTGTATTAATTATTTAAAATGAGCAGAATTGTAGCCTGATCATTTATAGGCAATTGTTGGATATTTCTATATACTTATCAGGATTTTTGATGCATGTTAAACCCAGTAAGAACCAGAAACATTTGTTCACTGTTAAGGTGTCTAGTTTTGGTAATGCTTCATTGCTTGGCAAATGCATATGATTTTGCTTATTATTAATGTTACACTTGCTTAATGTTGAATAGAATATCGTGTTTATCGAAATATGAAACAGGCAAAATTCTCTCTTTCTAAATCAAAAAGCAGAAATAGTTTTGTACAAGTATCTTTTGACTAATTCTGCTTTGTTATAAAAATATAGAAGATTATTTTCTTTACTGAATTTTAATTTAATTTAATTTAAAAAATTTCTAAAAAGAGAAATGTGAGAAGTATTGCAAGCAAATACTTAGGCTATTTAATACTTAAATTATTGAAATTGTCTAAAGGTGAAAGCAGATCATTTACAATTTTCTCTTTCATTTTAATAATCAATTTTCTTAAAATTTCTCCTGTAGATTAGACTTAATTTCAAAGCAGGTCTATTTTGTATATGAATTAATATCAGAAGGTGATTGCATTAAGTATTAAAAAAGGAAAGGTAGATCTTTGTTTTTTAAGTATGACAATGAAAAATCATAAATGTTTAATTAAATAATATAAATATTGATAGTTTAAATCCATTTTACAAGTGTACTTCAATCCAAAAAACATTTCATAAATCAAAATCTCATATATGAACGAAGTTTTCTATTTCTTACAGTCAAAATTTGTATCTTGTTAGCGTAGTGCCCACCAGTGGCCAAGTGTATAAAGCCACTGTTCACTGATAGATGGTTGCAGGTTTGCACCTTCCAATATCCTGGCCTTGTGGAATTTTCTTGGTTTTTTCTATGTCTAACACCTAAATAAGGGCAAGTTTCACATAGAAAGTCTAACTGGGAGGACCCTTTGTCAATTGCCTAAGTATTGCATTGCCTTCTTCCATCAGTCTAGTTCAGTCCATGCTAGTGTACCCAGTCACCCTATACAGTACATGCTTGCCTTATAACATTAAAGTGCTACAAAACAAATATGTATTTATCTAGTAATGATTATAAATAAAATGATGTAAAATTATTGAATACTTTATCTATATATATATATATAAATGGACGTGTGTGTCCCTATATTTCACTTTTCAGCCAAAACTACACATCGCACATGAATGGTGTTTTTATGTGGTAGTAGCCCCAAGTCTCCATTCGTGCACTATGGTGGTTGCGTCTCGATAGCTATAAGGGTGTGGGAGATATGGGCTTGAAAGTGGTTGAAAGTGGAAGATTTTTTATTTCGATTTTAAAAATTTTCGAATTTGAATTCGAATTCGAATTGGTTCGATTATAGAACGATTGTAAACGTTTCAGAAAATTGATCAAATAGAAAATAGTTTGTTTGACTGGATGTAAAAATTCTCTAATTAGTCTGGAAATGGGGGACCTAATTCTTGCATTCTGTGAAAACGGGTAAGATTGGCAATAATGTAATTATCTTAATCTTCACTATCGTTACTTTTTAC